CCAATGGAAATAATTCAAATAATACTCAACAACAAGGACAAGATATGAATTTACTTATGAATACTTTATTAATGATGCCTTTTTGGTCAAATATATGTGGATCAACAATGCCAATGCCTGCTGTATATCCGAATAATGGTATAACAACAATACAAAATAAAAGTACAGATCAAATACTTGATACATTAGCAACGACAAATGGAGCGTAAGTTTAATAATTTCTTTTGTTATTTTTGAAATAAAATACTAATTCAATTATTTAGATCGAATTCCTCATTAACATCAGGTGAATCATTAAATAATGGTACAGGTCAACATTCAAGTGTAGATTCAAATGATTCATCATTAATTTCATCGAATATAATTGATGTATCAACTGGTGGTTTTGTTGTTTTTATTTATGGTATTGGACCAGAAACAACACAAGAAGAAGTCTTAAATATATTTCAAGGTTTTGGACCTATACTTCGTACAGATGTTATTAAAAATAAACGAACAACAGTTGGAAAAGGTTTTTATTTTATTTTTAAATATAAATTTTAATATTCAATTTTAGGTTATGGTTTTGTTGTATTTCGACATATGAATGATGCATTAGCATCTATTAAAGCATTACATAATATGCCATATAAAGGTCGTTTTTTGCAAGTACGATTTCGTGTATAACAAACAAATCAGCCTATTATTTATTTTCAATATTCTATTCGTTTATATTTTATGTTTATATTAAACAAAAGTATATTTCTCTTTTTTGAATTAATGGATAACATAAGAAAAAATCCATTAGTCAAAATCAAGTTCTGATATATATATATACGTATAACATATGTTCGAGTACACTTCTGTTTGTCGTGATTCAGTTCGTGTACATTATTCTTATGTTAATATTATTAGAATATAGAAAAATAAATCTATCGATTTGGTTAATCCGATCGAACGAAGAATGAAATAAAATATCTGTCATAGATGTTCAGTGTTATTCTATGATGCATTCTTGAGTTTGAATTATAAAGGAAATACAGATCTCAACAAAATATTCATTGTATTTAAAGTAAGTATAACTATCAATTTTTACTATACTTTTTCTATACTAACCAATATAATGGATGGACCATAATGAATGGTTATCTTTTACAAATTATCTTTTTATTCACCGAATATCATAGGCGGGAAAACAATCTTTATAAGATGCTGATTTGGAAGTTAACAATAGGGATGACGGGCAGGACAACTCTGTTTATGCCTTTGAAATGAAAGACAGTTAGTGCTTCTATTTTTATTGCACATTGAGCACTATATTACAGCTGGTATTCATGGTCCATGATGTCCCGTAGGCCTAGTGCCTGTTGGTGTGGGTGTGTGGTGTAAGAAATGGCCGACACCCAAAAGCACACTTCACATCCGTACCCACCCACATCCTGATGCACTTGTTTAATTCATTTTATAACTGGGCCAATCATTAAAAACCATGAATGTAATTCTTCTGGGATTAAAATGTAAAGTACTACGTAGTTGCTATTGCTAATTACAGGAAGATTGTCTTGTTTTACCTATTTTGGGGCATATTTCTTCTCTACCATTTAAGTTAGCCCTCCACAAATGCAATATGGAAGTAGTTCATAGATTATAACGAGATGTTATTGACATACGATCTGTGATGGTCTCTAAGAAGTGTCTATCATGGTCTGTGCGGAGAAGGAGATGGCCGACATTTTTACTCCTATACTTCAACACTCCTTTCAGATCGTGTTTTAAAAAAACAAAATATACTTGAAATTGCACTGGAAAAAGCTCTACAATTTACGAAGAAAAGCATATTATATATATGGCTATTTGTTGTATGAAGAAGACAAAATTCTGTTCCACCAATTTTCTACGCTGAAAATATGATTATATTATAGGAGACGGCGAATTTCTTTTGTTATTTCACTGAATAAAGAATCATAGTTTTTAACTTTATCCAATTGCATTTTATGAATGATGGTGTCCAATTCATTTTTTGGTCATTTGTGTTTGTCTATGAAATGCAAGAAATACTTTGTGCACCATGCCAAGATGATCTGATGTACATGTATGATTGCGTTGTTTTATTGAGAAATGAAACATTGCCGATCAGTAATCGTTTACCTTCAGATTGGGCATATCAAAGAACAACTTCAATACAATTCTCAGGGTGATAATGGTTCAACGTATTCGAACATAATTCGATGACTTGCGAAAACTGACAATTCAGTTTGGTCCGCTAGTTACTTTCTATTTGTATTGATATTTTGATTGATATTAATTAAAAGTTAGTTTAAGATAAAGACGAACATGTATAATGCATTCCACAATAGTATCAATTATCATTGAAATTAATTGTTTGTGGAAAATGATTCTTTTCGATTGAATTTTCACAATTGGTCGGAGTCACTTTTGATCTTACGTATTTTGTTGCTTTGTTTCAAGTGCAGAAAAGCACAACTTGAGATCTTGAAGTAATGAAGTCACGCTTTTTGTCTCTGGCTTGATTTTCAATATCATTTATTGTTGAATTTATTCTTTTTGTGTGAACTGCTAAACTGCTCTAACGTCATTTCGATCAATCTTCTCATATATTGCTATATACTCTTTTATACTAAAGTAGTTTGATACTTGAATATATGACGTAATTAGTTGCAGAAATCTTTCAAGAGAAAAATATCTTTGTTTAGTTTTTCTTCTTGAATAGTTCCGGCTGAGAAACAATGTAGAAAAAGAAGACAGAAGTTATAGCGATCTCTTTTGAAAATATTTTTTATTAGATATCCATTATTCTTCTGCATAAGACGATGATTCGTCAGCAACGAATACACTACAGACACTGGATTGTGTAGGTAAAATACCGGTTTCTTCTTCGTTCTCCTCTTTATCCAAACACATTTTCGTGTAATAAACATATTTAATCTTATCATGATGATATGGCCTATTTTGTCTCTATAAAATGTGTTGTCATAATCTTATTATTGATCATTGAAGAGTATTTTCAAAATGACAACATCATCAAATGCTGAACATGAACGTTTACATGAAGATGAAGCTCGTAAAGCTAATTGGAAACGATGGGGTCCATATTTAGCTGAGCGACAATGGGGTACTGTTCGTGAGGTAAATTGAAATATCTTGTCATTGATATTTGTACATATTTTTAACGATATAGGATTACTCTGAAGATGGTGATTGTTGGAATTATTTTTCTCATGATCAGTCACGATCACGTGCTTATCGTTGGGGTGAAGATGGTCTTTTAGGTTTTACAGATCGTGAATGTCGTTTATGTTTTGCATTATCATTATGGAATGAAAAAGATCCAATACTTAAAGAACGTCTATTTGGCTTAACTGGACCTGGTATGTTATTAATATTTGAGAAAAGAAAAACTATTAGTACAATCTCTGTACAAATGTAAAACATGATGTAGTTGCTGTTGCTAACCAGAGTTAGATTATTTTATTTTATCTATTTTTGAGGGGATATATTCCTTCACTATCCTTCTATTTAATTTTCTCAAGAAATGTAATAAGGAAGCAGTTCATATATTACAACGAGATGTTATTGATATACGATCTGACCTCCTTTTCGATTGCGTTTCAAAAAAAGTCAATATGTATAGTAAAAAATAATTTTTTTTTTTTGCAAAAATTTTCAGAAGGAAATCATGGAGAAGATGTAAAAGAACTTTATTATTATCTTGATTCAACTCCAACACATTCTTATTTTAAAAGTCTTTATAAATATCCTCAAAATGAATATCCATATAAACAATTAATCGAAGAAAATCGTCGTCGCTCAAAACACGAACATGAATATGAACTTCTTGATACAAAAATTTTTGATAATAATGAATATTTTGATATATTTGCTGAATATACTAAAAATTCACCGGATGATATTCTTATACGTATTACAATTGAAAATCGTTCATCAAAAGATGCACCTATACATATAATTCCAACATTATTTTTTCGTAATACATGGTCATGGGGTTGTAAACATGAAGGTTGTACAATGCGTCCAAAAATTGTACAAAAACAAGGAGAAAATTTTCTACGTACAAAACATGATACACTTGAACCATTTCTATTCGATATTTATCCTGATGAAAATGGTCAAATGCCTGAAATACTTTTTACTGAAAATGAAACAAATTTTAAACGTTTATATAATATAGATAATTATTCACCTTATGTTAAAGATGCATTTCATGAATATATAATAAATAAACAAAAAAATCTCGTTAATCCAAAACAACGAGGAACTAAAGTTGGTTTATATTATCGTTTTAATATAAAATCAAAATCATCAACAAAAATTCGTCTTCGTTTACATCATTTATTAGATAATGAACAAATTTCAAATAAACTTAATTTTAATGATATTGATCAAATATTTGAAAAACGTATTTATGAAACTGAACAGTTTTATTCATTAATAATTAATTCAAAATTAAATCAAGATGAAAGAAATATTGTTCGACAAGGTTATGCTGGTCTTTTACATACAAAACAATTTTATCATTATATTATTGAAGATTGGATTGAAGGAGATCCTGATATAGGTCATTCATCAGAAATACGAAAAAGAAATGTTCGAAATAAAGATTGGTTACATTTGTAAGTTGAAATTTTCTCTTCTGAAAGAAATGCGATGCGTCAAGAATTGTAGAAGTTTTCCATCCTAAATAATAAATTTCTTGAAAAATTACAATTTTAATTAGTATATTTATATTTTAGATATTGTCGCGATGTTTTATCAATGCCTGATAAATGGGAATATCCATGGTTTGCTAGTTGGGATTTAGCATTTCATGTTGTACCATTTGCACATATTGATCCATATTTTGCTAAAGAACAAATAAGATTACTTTTACGTGAATGGTATATGCATCCAAATGGACAAATTCCAGCATATGAATTTAATTTTAGCGATGTTAATCCACCTGTTAGTGCTTGGGCAGCATGGCGAATATATAAAATGTGTACAAATAAAAAAGAAGAACATGATAGAAAATTTCTTGAAAGTGTATTTCTTAAATTATTAATGAATTTTACTTGGTGGGTTAATCGTAAAGATCCAAAAAATTTAAATTTATTTGCTGGTGGTTTTCTTGGTCTTGATAATATTGGTGTATTTGATCGTTCAGCTGAATTACCTGAAGGTGGTACAATGCATCAATCTGATGGTACAGCATGGATGTGTTTTTATTCATTAATAATGTTTACTATATCAATTGAATTAGCTGGTGGTATTCATAATGAACCCGTTAGTGAAGCATATGAAGATATGGCATCAAAATTTTTTGAACATTTTGTTCAAATTGTTGATGCAATGAATGTTCATGGTGGTACAGGTTTATGGGATGATGATGATGGATTTTATTATGATCAAGTTAAATGTGGTAAAACAGATCATATTACAATATTAAGGAGTAAGCAAAGAAAAAAAAAAGAATTGAAAACATGTTTTGTTGATGTTTTGACTTTATTTTTAATATTAATTTTCTAATAGCACGTTCATTAGTTGGTGTTATACCTTTAATTGCTGTATCTGTTCTTGAAATAGAAAAAATACATCATTTAAAAGGTTTTCAAAAACGATTAAATTGGTTTTTACAATATAAAACTAATCTTCGACAACATATAACTAAATGTAAATCAAATGATAATAATGACCTATTACTTTCAATTCCATCAGAAATTCGTCTTCGTCGTATGTTAACATATATCTTAGATGAAGATGAATTTCTTTCTGAATATGGTCTACGTTCATTATCAAAATATCATGAAAAACATCCGTATATATTTGATCCAGGTAGTGAACATGAACAATGTGTAAGTTATTCACCAGGTGAATCAACAACGAATTTGTTTGGTGGAAATTCAAATTGGCGTGGACCAATATGGTTATGTATTAATTATTTGATTATTGAAGCACTTCAACGTTATCATCATGCATATGGTGATGATTGGAAAATTGAATGTCCAACACGAAGTGGAAAAATGATGAATTTACGTGAAGTATCACAAGAACTTGCAAGACGTTTAGTAAAAATTTTTTTACTTGATGAAAATGGAAAACGACCATTGAATGGTGATGATACAATTTATGCAAATGATCCATATTTTCGTTATCTTGTTCTTTTTTATGAATATTTTCATGGTGATACAGGACGTGGAATAGGTGCTAATCATCAAACAGGTTGGACAGCATTAATTATTCAACATATTGAAGATCTTGCTAAATTACGTCAAGATTAAAACAAAACAAAAAAAGAGTAGAGTTTTTGTTTTTTTTAGAATAACTTTACTATGATATTTTTTTATTCATTTTTATTATTTGTTCTATTTTAATCAAAATAATTTCTTGACTTTTACATTTTATCTTTTAATGATAATTATATATTAATAGTAGTAGTAGACAGTAGAATCAGATGATTGAAAAATTGTACTTACGAGGGAACCTTCTCAGATGACACCCTCCGTTTGGGCTGATATTTTGCCTGTAGGTAGGACTTATAGCATAGGTAAGAGCCCTAAAAGGGTTTGTCCCCATAGCCTGTTATTGTTGAGATATTGCGTTTTTAAGGTATTGAGATAGCTCACTGTCGTGGTCCCCCTCAGGGACATCAGAAAAACTCATTTTCAAATTTCGACTTGAAACTTTTTACAGGGAGAGGTCTCAATGAGAGTAGTTTTTTGTGAAAGTTTCACCTTTGCTGAATGCTCCTAATCGCAAATAAGAACACCAAAACTTGCCTCTCCAAGTGACATTAGATTACCATAGCCGTATCTTAGGATACGAATAAGGAATAGGTCTGAAACTTTCACAAAAAACCACCCTCATTGAGACTACTTTCTATACAAAGTTTCAAGTCGAAATTCGAACATGAGTCTTTCTGATGTCCCTCAGGGGACCACGACAATGAGCTATCTCAATACCTTAAAAACGCAATATCTCAACAACAACAGGCTATGGGGACGAACTCTTTTAGGGCGCTTATCTGCGCTATGAGACCTACCTATAGGCAAAATATCAGCCCAAACTGAGGGTATCATCTGGGAAGGTTCCCTCGTTAGTGTTCTTACTTGTACATGTTAATTGAAGAAGATATAACTTTTTTGCTCTAAAAAGTGTTTCTCCTATAGCCTTTTCAATATGTTTTAAGTCGAGGTTTTGCGAAAGAAAAGAAAGGCCATTGGTTTGATTGCTGGTAGAAGTTTATTCAAAGTTTTTCTTCTATTACAAATAAGGATCATAGTTCATAAAGTTCGTTTTGACTTCTTATTATTATTCTTTTATGAGAAAAATGCTCGAACTGATACCTATTGTTTAAGCTCAAAAGTGTTTCTAAGAGTGGATTTAGATATTTACTGAAAAATCAAGAGAATTCTGATCTAAAATTATGCTCATAGATTACGTTAATGACTCGAGGAATAATCTGAACGTTTCAGCCGAAAACAATGTTCATTTGTCGAGACATTGAATTTTCAAAAACTAATGATGGTCGTTTACTACAAAAATTCAGTTTACTTGAAAATTCAATATCTCGACATAGGAAACGTTCTTTTCAGCTAAAACTTTAAGAATATTCCCAGAATCATTAGAACTATCTATGAGTAAAATTTCAGATCAAAATTTTCAATAGTTTTCTCGTTAGATGACAACTAAAAATTTTGCGTGAAACATTGTACATGTATTATTCTTACTTGAAAGTAACATTAATTTTCGTTATTCACATGAAAAAGAAACTTTAAATAAACTTCTCCCACTAACCAAAATATTCAGTCCTTTTGAACGAATATATTTTCATTTTTTTTTATCATAGTGTTATTTATGGCCTATCCTATTATATATATTTTGTATTAACGTAATGAGACAAGATGAGGCATGCAAATTTCACACTTTAACCTCGAAGAGGCTGCACTGACAAGCTGTAACATTTAGTTGACTTGAAATATCAGAATAATACCAGAATAAACAGAAAATATTTTCAACCAAGTACATAGAAAAATTTTTATTAAATTAAAAAGTAAAAAATAAGTCAATAGTGTACAACTGTGTCAGGGCTACACTATAATCTCTAATCCAATGTAGAAATATATTTTTAAAATGAAAAATTCTGTCATGAAAATACAAAAAAGATAAACAAGCCCTTTATGAAATAATTTTATGAATAGCAATTGATGATTCAAATCGTGCACATAGCAAATTATTTGTTCCTACAGTTAAATTAATTGGTGATTCACGATGATTTTCTACATGCATAAAACGACATTCACCAGTGACTTGACCATCTTGATCAAGCACTATTAAATGACCTGTCATATATTCAATAAGAATAATAGCATTTAATTTTGCACTCCAATCCATTTTTGGTGTATATGATAAATCATTATGCCAACAATCATCAAGTAATAATTGTTTAATACATGACCAATCTCTACCGTCATTTGAAATTTTAAATAAACAAATACCAACTTCATGACGACGTTCAAAACGATAACCCATTGCTATTTTTTCATTTGAAACAACAGTTAAATCACTTATTTCTCCAACTAATGGCCCTGCTCCTCGATTCATTCTTGTTGGCATAATATCACGAAATGTTTTACATACTTTTTCTTCTTTATCATAATTCATAAGAACAATTTCATCACCATGATAAGTTGTCGTATTAGGTGCAACAACTAAATAAATATGATTGTCACTACATGATAATCGTTTCATAGTACGATCAACAAATGTTTGAAATTCAATAAGATCATTTGTATAATCTTTAAATAGACGTAAACGTGCGCGATTAAGTATTAAATAGCCTGAGAGTCTATTTGAATATGTAATATCTTGAATCCATTCATCATCACCAGAACCAACTGCAGAATCAGGTTCATACCAATCAATATAATGTTTTGTTGTCAGATCATATATATTAGGTATAAAAGTTAAACGAGAACTTCTAATTGTGCGATCATAATCATTATAAATTAATTGATTATTATGACAACAAATAGTACCAGCATATTTATCATTATTTACAGCAATTAATATTGTATTAACACGTTGAATTTGACGTGTTTGACCAGCATCAAATTCATCGTTATTTGTACTTTCATTTGTTAAATTATTTGTACGAGTGTCATTTGTTAAATCATTTATACGAGTGTCATTTGTTAAATCATTTGTACGAATTTCATCTGGTAATCCATTTGTATAAACTGTATTTGGTAGTTCATTTGTTAAATTATTTGTACGAGTGTCATTTGTTAAATCATTTATACGAGTGTCATTTATTAAATCATTTGTACGAATTTCATCTGGTAATCCATTTGTATAAACTGTATTTGGTAGTTCATTTGTATAAATTTTATTTGATAATTCATTTGTATGAATTTCATTTGATAATTCATTTGTATGAACTACATTTGGTAATTCATATGTATGAGTTCCATTTGTTAATTCAATTGTATGAGTTCCATTTGTTAATTCAATTGTATGAGTTCCATTTGTTAATTGATTTGTTAGTTCTGGTGATCTGAATCTACTTGTATCGGATATTACTGGATCACTTGATACAAATTGTTGTGGTTCAATTTCAATTGGTCTTAACTCTTGATTGTTTGTACTTGATGTTGATAGAATTAATTTTGCTCGAAGTAATGCATCTAAATTAGTATCATCTGGAATAGTAGGTGATGAATTTTGATGATCTTCAAGAAGACGCTGAATTTGATGACCAAGCGCAATAATATCATTTAAATTTGTATGAGTTGGTCGATGAAATAAAGAACATATTCTATCGAAATTCGCTTGAATTGATGGAATATCGTTGAAAACATTTTTTTGTCGTTTATATTCGTACAAAGTTTGTTCTGCTATATCATTGATATCTTGCATACGTTTACGTTTCTATGAAAATAATTTTATAGAAAGTAGATATTTTCTTTATTTCTTTAATATTATGTAAACTTTAGGGGAAACTATGTTTTCATCATTGGCAAATAATTCATTTATCTCAAAAGCTAATTGATCGATAATATAAAGTTAAATAATGATAACAATAATCCCATCCACTCAAAATAATCATATTAATTAAGACACACTTATAAAGAAGGACGCGTGTCTTCTCTTAATCTATACATACCCACTCTATTTCTACAATTTAGTATAGTTTTTTTTTATATATCATTTATTTTTGTAAATGTATGATGTTTACTTATTATACTATTGATTATTGAACTAATAATAAAGTAGCTGATTAGGCGAGTTTTGTTTTTGTTTTGTTAATCAAAAATATTCATACCCTAAACTTTACATTCTTCTTGGCATACTCTGTTTGATTTGTTGTTTTTTTGAGAACACAAAACAAAGATTGAATAAAAAAAAACGAATAATAAATATTATATTTTGAATAAGACATGAAAAAATTTTTTCGAAGTCGAGATTAGATAGCTACTGAAAATTCATTATGAATTTTAAAATAGTAGAACAATTTCATATAAAATTAATACAAACCCAATTATCTATAACTGTTTGAACTGCATTGGTATTTTCATACTCTTTCTCTTCCTCTTTCTCTTGTAAAACATTAAGTTGAAGTAATTTGTCAGAAACCATTTGGGACTTCTCTTGTATTTCAGTACCAATTTCTTCGATATGATAATGAATACAATCAAAATCAAATTTATCACCGCATGTACATATTAAATCATAAGGTCGACCTTCGCAATTACTACAAAAACTAATCGAAGTCATTGTCAATCTACAATAGAAATTCATGGAAAATTTCAAATAGTGTTGTTTTTTATTACATCAAGTATTACGAATGAAAAGCAAAAATAAAAATAAAAAGAATGTATAAAGTAATGCAGACAAAGTAGACTGAGCAAACAATGCTTTATACTTCTTTTCTTAAGTTGGAAGAAAAAAAAAAGAAAAAAAAACCCCGAATGTTTTATGAAGTATTTCTTAGAGATCAACAGTCGACGAAAGCTAAATGTCTACTGTTGTTGTTTTGTACTTCAAATATTTCCAAAAAATCAAGGGGCAATTTCAATATAGAGAAATATATTTCATATAAAACACATACATATTATGTTTTGACAGTTTTTTTCATATATATATATATATATTTGATTGAAAACAAAAAAAAATAAACTAAAAGGAATTTTCCAAGTATAAATTTATACTGAGTTTAAACGAACCCGTTTTATTTGAATAAAGTTACCAAATAATACAGTGCGATGTTTTTCAAGAGGCTTATACGCATTTTTTTTTGTGTTCTGTTTACGCAACAAGATAATGCATTTTTTTAGTTGGAAAAAACCAAAATATTTTATGACATCAGTGAGTCATATTGATCACAGTCATCGGGTCTCGTAAAGTGTCGCTATAGTAAAAAGGAAAAAAAATAATTACGGAGTAAAGGTATATTATTTGATCGTAAAATTTAACTAATGAGAATATTTGAGACAGTCGCTTAAGTTTTTTTTCTGACATATGATTAGGATAGAGTGACCTTGCAATCTTAAAAAATTTTTTGTATTTCTATAATAGTTCTAGTGTTTTATTCTTTATTCAGTAATTTCCACAAAAACGCTCAACTTGAGCAAAACACTTCCTATCGAGTCCTTTTCAATCGTGATGACATCGAAACACTCTTGTTAATAATTAATGTTACTGTTAATTTTTAATTGAAAATAATCAAGTAAAAATATGCTGTTGAATTAGTCGAAGCGAAACTATAATAGATACTTACAAAATTTTCTTTTTCTTTTTGCTTTCTGTTATAAATGTATCAATTAATTTTTTTGATTTATTCTTATTTTTTTATATCATTGTGCACGCGTATATTTACGAATAACATTAAAAAGAACCCTCGTACAAGATAGCAATGAATCAACAACAATAATAGAAAGAATGAGGGTAAAGTAAAGCTTACAAACTGAAGATACTACAACTATCTGATGTTTGCAACATTATGATCATTTGCTCTTGAAAGTGTTTTAAGTATTCGAATGAGATGTTTTTATTAAGTAAATATTTTTATTTGAGATACTACAGTATCAAATCGATATATGTCTATATGAATGAGATCAATTGAATAAGTTTCTTCGTATAAATAATGAAGATCGGATTGCATTTTTTTAAGCATGGTTTTTTTGTGTGAGATTTTAAAGATAAATTCAAGCATCGAAACTTATATGGTTTAAAAAATAAATACATAAAAAAATTGTTTCTTTTGTCATATAAAGAAAAATAATTTTGTTACGATTACCCAACCGCAAAAATAAAGATTTTATTATAATGTTTATATTTTTACTAGTTATAAAAGAATTTATTTGAATATCAAGAAATAAATACTTAATCATGAGCTGTTGATGTAAATGAAATAGAAAAAGAATTGAGTATGTTAAATAATTATGTTTTCACTTATCATGATTTATGATTTTTGTAATGATGATTAATTATGAATGATTCGAGTGTTATCTTTTTTCTTTTATCGATTCTAGTCTGTAAATATTTTTACGTTTCCTCGTTTTTTGTCGTGATTTACCAATCTTTACTGTTTTCGTTTCAAACAAAATATACAATCTAAGTGACAAAGTTGTCTTGAGTATAATTGAGAATAATTATGTGCAACAGTACACAAAAAACATAAGATGAAGAGAAAATGATTATTCAATAGTAACGTATAATGCAAAAGTAATGTGACAAATCTCGGACTCTATTTCTCTTTGATAAAAAGGGTGCCGAAAGAAAACTTTTTTAATCAAAAGATCGAGCTTTTTCTTCTCTTTCGAATCGTGTATAACTTATTTTTTATAACACACTTATAAACACTGGATGACGCAAATGAATTACAAAGTAATTCAAAAAATATGAATTACAAAATAATTCGAAATTTATATATTTATTACCAGGGTACCCAGGGTCTACTAGGGTCTATTAGGGTCTACCAGGGTCTCGATGTGGGTGCCGCGAAACGACTTACATCACATCTCTTTCGACGTGGGTGCCGCGAAATCCTGGTAGGCCCTGGTAGACGTTGGTAGACCCTGGTAGACCCCGGTAGATCCTGGTAGATCCAGGTAGATATTAATAAACTTATTATAATTATATATATACTTCTATAAATATATATATATATAATATAAAAATTTTGAATTATTTTGTAATTCATTTGCGTCATGAACTCCTTATAAACGGAATGCTGCAACAGAAAAGAGAAGCACCTTTAAAAAAACTTCGTACTATTCGTGAGATTTAGAAAAACGGCGCAAAATTTTGTTTCCTCTATCTCTTCGATAAATACGTTTTGAAACGAGAATTTTTTTTTTTTTTTGTATCAATTGATAGGGATTTTTCTTCTTTTTCGAACAGTGTATGCTTTTTATATACGTTGCACATTTCTAAATGAAATGAGACAAGAAAAAAAGAGAAACATTCGCCAAATAAAATGATAACTTTTAAATGAACTCATCAAAAACATCTTGTAGCACGACAATTAGTTATAATCAACTGTTATCTACAAGATATTTTTAACGAATTCATATGAAAACTATCAATTTATTGTGCGAATCTTCTCTTTTTTCTTGTCTCGTTTCATTTACTAAAATGTAAAAAAAAATGAATCATATACTGTGTGAAAGAAACGAAAATTTTCTATCAACTGATAAAAAAATCTTTTTTCAGGACCTATTTATCGAAGAGATATAAAGATCGACATTTACCCTATTACGTTTGCATCATAGGTTATGTTTTATTTTCAAACACTCTCCACACTTGATAGCATGTTTCATACCAATAAGATTATCATCAGCATATTCTTTAAGATGAAATTCAAGTATTAAAGATTGCAATATTGCATGGAATGATAAGTCTTCTATACACACCCATCTAAGCCTGTACATGCACCAATAAAAATTAAGCCGATAATTGAATACGAACTGCAATCAGTTAAAGACGAATGTAAAGACGACGAATTTATTAGGGACGCATATAGTTCCACTCAATAGTGTTATGAAAAAAAAACGCGAGACGTTTCATGTCATTCAATTATTTTTTTTTACAATATGATTACTGGAGTAATCAAAGCTACTTTGCATCAAAAGCATGGTATCTGGTGAATCTGACTATACAATTGACATATAAAAGAGGCTAATATTCTATTTATTAGTTGTTTTGTTTTAGGATTGTTGCAGTAGGTAAAAGAGAAAATTTTGTTCGCATTTCTTTTTCTTTTACATATGATTGTTTTTTACTATAAGCTTTTTTAAAGTTGCAACAAAGTTTGAAACGAGGAGGATTATAACAAAAAGAAGAAAAAAAATCGTTATACGATTTCGAGAAAATGTCAGAACATGAATAGAAACAATAACAAACGAGAAAGTGAATGCTAATCAATGTTCATTGACATAAAGTCTTTTGTTTTTTTTTCATTCGATCATATTGTTATTGATCTTGCTCTTTTGACTAATAAGAAAAAGAAGAGGAGAATGATAAATGCTATTTTTTTTCTCTTGTAATTGACAGGGAAAATTCGTATTAAACAATAATTATAATTGAACACTTGCTGGTAATTTTTGTCGAAGATCATCAACAATATGTGTTAAATTTTCAAATAAATTAGAATATTGTTTATATAATTGATCATCATTTGATGAAGTTTTTCCAGAATGTAAAAACGGTAAATTATTCTCAATATATTTCGTTACATTATCATCAACAGGAACAAAATCATCGAGAACAAGAATAGTATTAATTAATGTTTTACATCGTTCCATTAAAACTTTTAATTTATCAGTTTTATTCATAGATAAATTTGTTTGATCTAAAATAAGAAAGTTTTTATTATTTTTTTAATTCAATTTCTTTTTTTTTTGTTTTTAATTTATACCACTATGAATCGATACTGTGAGACTAGGTGGTGTTAATGAAACGTTACTATTTTGTTGAGATATTGCACCAAGACGCATCTTTTGTACTAATTGTTCGAGTTCATTTTCAATCGATGTTAATTCAAGAGTACATTCAGTTACATGATCAGTACGTAACATATTACACAAGATATTTCTACTTCAAGATAAACATGTAAATAAAATTATATAATTAAAAAATGTAGCATATTGTAAACTTTTTGTTGATGAGAAAAGAAACCAGTTAGAAACATTTGATCTTAATGGTTTTCGGTTATACTTTTAAAATGCTCAGTGTTAGTTTCAGCATAGAAAATAAAAAGAGTAATTTTCTAAACTAGACAATTTGTTATCATATGATGCTTTTTCAGAATCCAATTCGACAATTTTTCGTTGATGAAGATATACGATGTAATCTCAAGAAAGGGATTAATGCATGTAATCAATGGATACAATTTAGGAATGCATCGGTGATGGTGCACCGGTGCTAGTGGTCTTGAATTGAGTTCGATTTTTTCGGCCGGAAAGGTTTTTCCAATTTAATAGCAAAGTTATCAGGTCTCAGAAGACTTTGGCCGATCTATTTTTTAATAACGTCATTTTAAAGAAAACAAGATGAAGAAAAATCGACTAAAAAAAGCCTTCTTGCGGTTTTTGTCATTCTTTGAGCTGATTAAGGGAAGATTGTAGAAAATGTGGTGACCCTTCATTTTGTTTTCTTCGAAATGGCATTATTACAAAAATGACTTCTGCGACTTGAAAATTATTGTGTTCGGCTTTTTAGAAGCCTTACCATCCTATTTCATCACTGGCATCTCAGTATAAAATGCCTTAGAT